TGGGCTTTATTTATTATAAAGGCCCAACAATCTCTTGGATCCAAGACAGCCATTAGTACTTGACTTTGTAATTGTATTAGAACCCTTCGAGATTTATCAAACTTCGTAGTGTGTCATCTCCTTCGTCTGGCAATTCTCCGATTTGCCTCACCACCGGAGCTTGAGGCTGAGCAATCAGTGACGATCAAATCTTATAACCATGGATTCTCCGACCAATTCACAGAAAACGGGTATGATTCAGCCTCAATTTGTCATTTCGCTCTCTTTAAACCCTCTTTTCATTCTTCGGCCGATTCGACTCATTCGTTTCTTATTCTGTAGATTTCTCGTATGGTGATCTATCTTAATCTTCTGTTTTCATTTCATCACATTGAACCAAGTGATTTGGATTAATCTTCCCCAAATTGAGGGAAATTTACCCAGGTTTCTGAATCGTTGTGCGTAATTGATTTTGCCATGCGTTACTCTGCGTAGCCAATTGTTTCCTCAGTATTCTAGGGTTTCTTGCAATTACTGAGATTGGTGTTCTTGTTTTCAAGCTACATAGCTTTATGCAGTTATGCAGAAGCAGAACTCTTGTTTAGTAAAGAGCCAGAAGAAGAAAACGTTACTTATTTTTTGTACATTGATTTGATGAGCCTTGCTTCTTGTGTCTCCTTGTTTCGTAAACAGTTTCGGACGACGAAGAGATCGATTACTCCATCAAACCAGAGTTATATGATTCGGATCTCGACGACAAAGATGAGCAATGGATGGCTAAGAAAAGAGATGGCCGTACTTCTGATGCTGTGCTTAGCTGTCCAGCTTGTTTCACCACTGTCTGCTACGAGTGTCAAAGGTAAAATTTTCATTTCTTTGAACATTTATGAATTCATTAGAAGCATAATTGAATCCTTGTTACTCAACTTTGCTAGCATTTCGCTGTTTTTCTTTAGTTTAGGGTTAACTTGCTCAATCCCCACCCATGTGTTTACTTCCTGATGAATAGGCTGATAGTGACTTGATTTAGAATATGACCATATGTTACTGGCTCTAGATATAGTCAACATGTGAAAGTCTAAAGATTTTGTTTAAGAATGACAATCTTGATAGGATTCGAACCGGTTAACGACTTGATTAACAAGATGATTCCTAATTTTGACCTTGAAAGGCTAGTTACAATGCTCATGCACACAAACACGAGGAGACTTATCACAACCCTCGAAGCTACGGTTTAGAATATGCTCTTTTTGCTTCTGTCCTCTTCAGTTCAGTGATTACAGTCTTGTTTGAAACTTTGGTCCCTTTGAACTTTGTTTGGGCGGTGTGAATCAACTGGTCGACATTGGAACTTGTTTTAGAACTATTAACCGCGGATATCAGATTGAGACAAGTTGGTGAAACTTTGCAGGCATGAACAGTACGTGACACAGTACAGGGCAGTCTTTGTTGTCAATTGCGAAGTAGACAAAGACAGAGTTTTCCAACCCAATGCAATACCATCAAAAGTTGGTAAAAGAACGAGAGATTCCGAGAAGCAAGAAACTGGCTCCGCAGACAACGAAAGACTGAACCCGGTCTTTTGCGCAACTTGTTCGACAGAGATCGGGGTAGTTGACATCGAAGAGATCTACCATTTCTTTAATGTAATTCCAAGCGAGCCGTAGACCAGTTACTTAAAGAGGTGTTCTCCGAATGATGATTAGGATTTAGGCTATGGTTAGACTTTGGTTGTGTTGTTTGCATTCGTGTTCACGTTTAGTGTGAAAGTGAATCCACGACTTTTAACATTTTGGCCAAAATTCTATTGTTAATGGTAGATATAAGCACCAAACACAAACAATAGAAGAACCTTTTATTTTTGCACTTGTTTATGTTCGTATTTTGCAATGATATTTTACGAAAAAGTAAAAAAATGTTTGCATTTCACATTTTGTAAAAAGATATTCAGGTAAAAGGCAAATATATGAATTCCGTTTGATACAACTAAGGTCTTTACGATTTAATATGTTGCAAGTTTTTCAGCTAGTAAACGTTAACGTCAAACGCAAACTAATGGAAAATTTTCTATTTGCATTTAGCGTTTCGTTTTATATTATCTAACAATTATTACGGCTATAATAATATCTTACTCCTTTTCTGTTTTTTTCTTAAGTTTTCTCAACGGGACTCTAGTATGTGTCTAATTCACGCTTTAAGTTTGATTTTGAAGAATTGCAGAAGAAGAATAGATAAAGGCGATATTCTGAGTCTAAAACACGAGATGACGTGGATCATTCTGATTGGTGGAGTAAGCAAAGAAAATCTACGACGGCAATCGCCAAGTGAAATTAATGGAAAAAAGGAGTAAGAAGAAGATATTTGTATGAAACAAGAGTTGATTCTCTTTTGACAGAAGTGTCACTTTCATGTATATTGAAATCGATAAATAAACACATAATGAGAATGGGCTCCAGCTGTTTTACACATTTGACAATTGTCAAACGATTCGTACACCAAAAGTGTATATATATACACCCGAGTTAACCTACAATATTAAATTGCGATTAAAAAATACCATGCATTTTTTAGTAATATTTGATCATTCACAAATAATTTGAGAGAGATGAAGTAGAGGAAAAATCATAAATGGAAAAAATGGAGTGTTATTAGTTTTTTTTTCAACCAACGTATTTCTCTCATTTTCGGTAGAGTAACAATTTTAAAGTAATTAAGCTTGTTTTTTTTCTAATTTGGCAAGATCCAATTAAATTTAGAGAAAAACATTTTTATGCTAAATAGTTAATTTTTAGAGAAAATGAAAGGAAAGATTAATTCCACGCAATTTGTTCCTCTAACTTATCAACCAAACTATCAATGCATTTAATTAGTTAACCATAACCAAATTATTTAACATTAACACAAATGTGCTTACATTAAGAAAATCCCAAATACTCACTCAGTACAACTTTATCACTTATAGTTATATAAGCATTCGCTCGTTACGTAATCTTTAAGCAGTTTGCGGTAATCAGAATTTACGAATATGTTTGCTTCATTTTTGTATTTAAAAGTTGGGTCTAATTTTAAGTTGATATCCAGGCTCATGATTTGTATGGGCGCATGTAACAACGACACATTACCAATAATTAAGTCATTATAATTGAATAATTTGTTGCTAGGCGCGACAATAATCATAACATGATTTTTTGTTAAAAGGGTTTCATAATCATAACCAGCCTGATCATAACAAAATATGTTAACATGATAATATAGTCTAATGAAAAGATATAAAAATATTCAGTTTATATAAATCATAAAGATAGTAGAGAACTTTGTTTGCTGTTTTTTTTTATAAAAAAAAAAAAAGAAGGTAGAGATGTTTCTATAATGAAAGTAGATTTATCGACCACGTATCTGCCAGGTGAACACGACTACTTCGGAATGGAATCATATTTGGGTTTAATATTCATTAAATGTAAGAAGAATTATGGTTATACAAAATTACACACACGAACGCATATGTGTGGATTTGTTGGAAAATACTCAAACAGTAGTTGTAACCAGTGTCATAAAGCGCGTAATTGTCATTTAATGGAGTCTATTTTAATTTAGAAACACAAAAACAAAATGGTAATCAGTGTCGGGGTAATAAAGTATACTCACCAATCAATTACCTCATTGATTGTCTCTAATTATTCCACATCTCACTCCCTCGACGAGTATTTTTTGCAATTATCGTGGAAATTGGAAACAGCTTTTGTCTTAATTGCAAACTACTTTTAAATAATTAATTTTTTTATAGTTTTCACACATATTAAAAAAATATATTAATTTTTAATAATAAATATTTTATTTTTTATACTAAACAATTTTTAATAACTTTTATCCAAAGTTCTAAAACACGGCCGTCGAGGCCGATTAATCGCCGAAAATCGCTCGGCGGAGTATCCGCGTAATTTTTTTTGATTTTTTGCTCTTTAAAGTACTAAAATCGGGTTTATTGTCATAGATATTCAATATTTGAGTACAAAATATCAACTAAAACGAAAAGAAATGATGTAGAGATTAAAAAATTGAGTTGCAGTTGCGAAATTAAGGTTCAGGATTCGCAGATGTGAGGAAGAAGATGAAATGTCAATAATACCTTTCATTAAACTTAAGCGGAAAAAATCGAAAAATACATTCTCTAGCTCTCAAACTCGAAACACCTAACTCACTTAAAACACTCTAAACTTCTGCGCCAATTTAGATTTCTTGTCAATCTGTGATATAAATGTTATATAAACAT